TGATGCCTCTGTAGGAAGAAAAATAATTTTCCCCTTTACTCTTCTAAATTCTTGGCTGAGACCCCTCCTAACCACCCCCATCCCGCCCGCCCGGATAATAAAAGACAGATTAACAAGAGCAAAACAAAAAGAAGTTTAATAACATGTATACCTCCTGTATACATGGAAGATACCCAGAAAAACTGAGTAACTTCCCAAAATGGCCCAAGCCACCACCTTAAATACGATCTTCAGCTAAAGACAAAGGAAAGATGTTAGGAGGCGAGAGAGGCCAGTTATGGGAGGCTACCAGGGAAAGCACAGTTTTATGGCTGTTAAGTAGATTTAAGTCCACGCCTTCTCCATCGATAAGAGTTTCTGGAGATTTAGAGCTATCTTTTTCCTGGTAGACAGGGACACACTTACAAATGGAGACTTCCTTTATAAATGTAAATGTCTCTTACAAAAGAGTAACTTCTACTCTGTCTTCCGAGATTCTCTTGTGTCTGCAGTTTCTCAAAAATAATCAGTTCAAAATAATTCTTACATCAAAGTGGCATATTCTGGGGCAGCATATTCTGTTACTCTTCAGGCCAATGGGCAGAATTAATCGCTCTTCTTTCTTCTCTTGTGCCCCCATGACATCCTTTAAATATTCTCACTTACTATAACATGGTTATAGATGGTGCATCTCCAGCAAGTTCCACTGGTGGAGCATCACCACAAGTTCTCTGCCAGCCAGTAAGCTATGGTCATGCCCTCCCCAACAAAATGGAGATCTCAGCCCCGGCTACAGGGCTCCAAACCTCCTGGTACTTATGCTCCTGTGCAATCCCTCCCTTTGAGTGCGGGCTGGAATGATTGTCTTGCTTCTAATGAACAGATTATGGCAAAGGCGACGGCACGTCCCCTCTGAGAATACGTTATAAACGAGCACCACTTCCATCCTGAGTGCTATAGCACACGCTCTCTCTCTGATCACTCATTCTAGGGGAAGCCAGCTGCCATGTCGTAGGCAGCCTGTGGGAAGGCCCACATGGTAAGAAACTGAAGACTCTAACCAACAGCTAGAGAGGCCTGCCAAGAGCCCTGTGAGTGAGCTTGGAAGCAGATTCTCTAGCTCCAGCTGAGCCTTCAGATGACGGCAGCCCTGGCTGAGAGCTTGACTACAGCCTTGTGAGGGACCCTGACCAGAACCACTTAGCTAACCTGCAACTGGATTCCTGACCCCAGAAACTGTGTGAGATAATAAACATTTATTAAGTTACTAAGTTTTGGAATAATTTACTGCACAGCAACACACAGCTAATAACAAGGTCCTCTTCCTTGAGTGCCCTCTCAGCCCTAGGAGTGGCCTGCTCCTTATATCTGCTATTCCCATATTCTTTGGAGTTAGCTTTACCTTTTATGAGGCAATCTCTCATTACTGCAGTCTCATTATGGTTAGTAAAAACTCTTTATATTAAACTCCCTATCAAATTACTGAGTGTCTGATTGGATCCTGATGCTACACCAGATAAGGCTGATGCTGCTGGTCAGAGAAGCGCATTAAGAACCACTGGCTTAGATTACTCATGCTTCAGCCCCCAGAACTGAGCTCACTTTGCCTGAAGCCCATGGCCACCACAAAATCAAGTAAAAGGAAGGTAAGAAATGGCTGTTAGTTAAGTAGCCAACAGCGTCTACTTCACATACCTTCCATAATTAAAAAAACTGCTACTAGATTGGTTCATTGCTTTTCATGATATTTGGACCAATGTTGTCAAAAAGGTTACAAAAGCCTACTTATGAAAACATGATTCAGAGGAGACTTGAGCTGATTTTAGAACTGGAAGTGAATTTGACTGACTGATTACACCACACATATACACACAGCTAACCTAAAATGAGATCCAGTAAATGACTTAAAGAATACTTTGTAATAAACTGTTATTGTGTTGGTAGATTTTACGTAATCTTTTCTAGACAACAGCACACATCATCAAGACAAAATTACTCCTCCACCCCTAAGTTACTGATTTATAAATTACCCTCCATATTAGTTTCCTCGGGGTGCCGAAACTGAGTGGCTTAAAACAGAAATTTATAGTCTCACAGTTCTGGAGGCCATAAGTCCAAAATCAAGGTGTGGGCAGGGCCATGCACCCTCTGAAACCTGTAGGGGATAATCCTTCCTTGCCTCTTCTGCCTTCTAGTGTTTGCTGGTGTCGGGGATCAGAATTGGCCACCCCAAAATGTGTCTCTTTGCCTTGATTATTTTTAAGAACAAAAGACTGAAAAAAAACTTTGGCCTTTCCCCTAACTGCCTAAAAGAATTTAAGATAGAAGGCCTGTTCCAGGGAAGAACTAATACCACGAGATAACTATAGTATTATGTAAAATAGGTGTCATAAGAAAGGCACCAACAAGCCCATCTTATCGAAATTCTGTCTCCTGGGCCACATTCTCTATAGCTGGCCCAGTAAACAATTGTCTAACAAACATTTGCTTTTCCATCTCCATGCAAATTGCCTTCCTACCCTTTAAAGTCCCAAACCACTATCCCTAACATCCTCCGTTGCCTTTAGCTGAAGGTGCTATTTAACCTGGCACCTCGGCCATCATGGCTGAATTACCCAGTTTTTCCTGGGTCTCTCCCATGTATACATGTTACAAAGCTTTGTTTGATTTTCTGCTGTTATTCTGTCTCATATGAATTTAACTCATACCCCAGCCAGAAGGACCCAGAGAGGGTAGAGGACAGTCAGTCTCCCTCCCCTACACTGGCAATCCTGGCATTCCCTGGCCTGAAGATGCATCATTCCACTCCCTACTTCCATCATCACATGGCCATATTCTTTCTCCCTGTGCATCTCTGTCTCTCTTCTCTTCTTATAAGGATACCAATTATAATGGATTAAGAGCCTACCCTACTCCAGTATGACCTTATCTGAACTAATTACATCTACCATGACCTTATTTCCAAATAAGGTCACATTCTGAAGTTCAGGTGGTTAGGACTTCAACATATCTTTTTGGGAGACACAATTCAACCCATAATACCCTCATTTTCATGAAACTTCACGTCTATCAAAACAAATGGATAACTGAATATCTTCTATCTTAATTATTTATGTGTGTGTATATACATATTGTGTGCGTGTGTGTGTGTGAGGAAGATCAGCCCTGAGCTAACATCTGCCAATTCTCCTCTTCTTTTGCTGAGAAAGACTGGCCCTGGGCTAACATCTGTGCCCATCTTCCTCCACTTCATACAAGACGCCGTCACAGCATGGCCTGACAAACGGTGCAACGGTGCGCGCCTGGGATCCGAACCCAGGCCGCCAGCAGCAGAGGGCGCGCACTTAACCACTACGCCATGGGGCCAGTCCCCTTAATTATGTTTTAATATAATATTATAAGAATTAAAAAATGTAATAATCTGCCAATTATAAAGTATCTATACAGAAGCCAGTGGAATTCAATATTCATTTATCTTATGACTTTAGATAACTAAGAAGCATTCTCTGCGACTTTTAAAATCACAACCCGTCTCCCTTTAACATGCTCTGATTTTCACGTTTTAAAACACCACAATTTCCATTTCCCCTTTCCTTCAGCATATCCACTAATCACAACCACTGGCAGGGGTCCCCAGCCCCACTTATTTTAATTGTTTAATTGAATACAGACATCACAAACCCCATTAGTTATTTGTGGTTTAATTTTCTTTTACATAATATCTGGTATATAGTTGAGGTCAAAATCACGTTTACCAGATAAAAAGGGTAAAAAGAAAAACATGCAAGTTCAGAACCAGTGTTTTCTCTCCTTCTTTGGGGTAGAAAATGAAACTCAACTGCTCCCTTATCTTTATTGTTCTCACAGAGACTCCATTAGTGGTCAGAAGTTTGTTTCACTTATCTTTCACTAAACTGTGCAGTAGCCTCCTTATTCTAAGGAGTATTGAGATAGCAACTGATAATAAGTATGAAGGATGGATTTTTTTAATGCTTTCCAGAGATTTATCTTTATTACAAAAAATGTTAATACTAAGTGACAAATATATGTGAAAACAGAACAAACCTAGTGAAAAATCAATATTGACATATGAATTCTAAACCATAAGACTTCAATTCTCAAGGGGAAGAGGGAGGCTGACATTTACTGGGGGTCTACTAGGTACCATATTAGGCAGTTTGTCAGGCAATGTATACACTTTAATTCAATCAGTGTCATCCCTGTGAGTTAGGAATTGCGATCCAGTTTTTAATCACATTTAAAGAGGTTTAGAGGAGACACTTGCCTAAGATTCCATACTGAGACCAATGACTGTTTCAAAATTGCCTTCTTAGTTCTGACGAACTTATGCCTTCTCGAACACAATACACGGGGAGCCAGGGAGGGAAATGGAACTCGGAACACTGAGATCAGTGGAAAAGTAATAACCTAGCCGGTGGAGGTACGGTTTCGCCAAACATGAAAAGTTATGGTGATGTTCACGTCCTCCTTTACTTCCACTTCTCCCTACCAACTTAACGTTTGTTCAGATGCCGCCTTTCCAACCCTGGGCACACAGACAAGAGAACGCCACTGCTTATCAACAAGGCTTTGTCATTCCTGTGCCATAAACTCCCAGGGCAGGGGCGCAGGCGCCAGGCCTGAGGAGAAGACCGGCCCCGGGAAAACTATGCCCGGGTCGTCAGTGAGTACGTCTGCGCCTCTAGCTGCGAGGAACGCTCAGGGCCCTCGCAGTACAAACACCCGCCAGCAACCGCCGGTCACTCCATCCACCAGGAACAAATCTCCGGGGCGGTGAGCTTCAGAGAAGGAGGGCCGGGGACGCCCACCCGCAGAAACGAGGCCACTGGAACAGAGAGCGCGCAGCGCTCGGACAACCCCCCGAGGAGCAGAGGAGCCCACTCCAGCCGTCCCGCCCCCCGCGGCCCGGCCCCGGCGCGCATGCTGACGTCATGGCGCCCCGGGCCGGACGGTGGACGCTACCACCGCCCGCGCCCCCCCACCGTGCGCGGCCTACTCACCTTCCCGTCCTTGTGAAAAGGGAGACGGAGCTCATCAGCCGTGGGCCGGGGGTGCGCACAACCCGACTCCTCCGGCGCTCCGGCGGGGAACACCGCGGAGGCGGCGGCCTCGTAGTCCGGGAAGGGGTTGACGAAGGCGCGCTCCTCCATGTCTGCCTCCCCGCCCAGAGGCAGCTTCAGTCTCTTCGACATGGTCTCGCCCATCGCGGCCGCGCGCCCTGCTCGCTGCGCCCGCGGTACGGCGTGCGGGCGGGGACAAACCTCCTGCGCGGCGTTCACGCCAGCTGCTGCGCCGCCGCCTCTCCCGGGACCCCGCGCGCACGGGCAAGGGCTTTCTTTACGAAGCGAGGCGTCGGCGGGAGCCTGACACCTCTGGCCGCAGCGGGTGCGCACCACGCGGGGCCCCCGCCCGCCAGGACGCCGCCCAGCCCGAGGCAGGAGCAGGGGGTTCCGGGGCGCTCTCGGCTTCGCCCTCTGTGGGCTCGGGGGCCCAGAGCCCGTTCACGCCCCCGCGCCGCCCCTCGCCGCCACCGCTTCCCCGCGGGCCCAGGAGCGGTCCGCCGAGCCCGTCCGCGGTCGCGCGCACAGCAGCGCCGGAACCGGCTCTGGACGCACTCCCGCGGTCGCCGGGCCCGGCCCCTCTGCTGGCCGAGCCCCTTCCGCGATTTTCTAGAGAAAACCTAACGACCGCGCGGGGCACGGTTCCGTGGGGAAAGCTGTGGAGAAGAATCCGCTGTCAATCAAGGTGTGCGCGGCTGGCAGACTCTGGAGAGCGCGTCCCCGGCCGCGCCTTCGTCAGTCTGCGTGGTCACCGGCCGAGTGGTGCCGCCGAGTCCTCGGCCTCAGCCGCTGGGACAGCAGCAGCTCTTTGGTATTAAGGGGAAAAGTCTTTTCTGAAGAAAAGAATTTCAAAACAGCCTTAAAACACTGCAAGGATGTCTACCGTCGGGAGGGGGGGAAACTGTCTCTCCTATTCGTCACCGTTGGGAGCAGGGTTCTGAAGGAGGAGCCACAGGCCTTTTTTTTTTTTTTTCCTTTTGATGTTTTTTTTTCAGCTCCTTTACTTTGAATAAACTGCTATCTTTGGTAACGAGATAATGTGAAAGCATACTCAATCATCTAAATATTTAATTGACCTGAAAGATTCTTCCAATATTAATTTAATTGCCCAGGAACATAACATGTATGATAAAAGGACACAAACAAGTGAGTCTTCGCATTTATCTAATCACAGTATGAGTAACTTAACAGTCTTTATTGGTTCTCTTTGTTCTTATTGTTTCTTTAATTATTTGGATCCAAATAGATGTAATGATTTCTACTTCTTGAGGAAAATATCTTATTTCAGTTTTTTTCCGTTTAAACTTTGGTTGAGTGCCAGATGGTACTAGGTGATGACAAACTAGGAGATTCAAAAGGTAGTTTCTGCCCTCTGGATTCCAAGTCAGTAGGTGAGAAGGGGAAAAGAGTTACACTATAGTGGGATACGGATGCTTACCTGGAACCAAGCAAGGTATACATTAGTGTCATGTAAGAAGGGGCATGATGAAGGAACACAACATAGCCAGGAAGGGAGCAGCCCTCCTGCCTCTGGTCTGGCTTCTCACTCCTGCCTGTCCTATGGTCTTCCCCAACTGCACCCCTACTGAGAAATTACTGGGAAATTACAGTGTAGGAGAAAACTGATAGTGGCTCAACACAAGGTTTGACTAAGGGAAGCCAAATTGTAGAAAAGAAGCCCAATTGTAACTTTCAAAGACCTCTGACAAACTAACCCAGCTGGATATGCACCCTCCAGGAGATCTAACTGCTCTGTAGATTTTATGACCCTGCTTGCGAATGTACCTCCCAGCTGCAATAAGATGATAACTTTGTTCTTTTGAGTTCCTTAGGAATGAGATGACCCCTGGACAGAGAGTCTAGCTGGTATGGCCACTCCCAATCAGTAGCACCAAAGGGTCAACATTCCTAACCCCCTCCCCTGTAACCCACTGGTCTATATAACTGCTTCAAGATTCTGTGCCCCCTTAAGATGGTTCTTTCAGAAATTAGTTGGCCATCTTCCCCCTTCATAGCAAACTACAATAAAATGCTCTCTCTCTGCTACCATCTTGGCTCTTGACAATTGGCTTTCGTCTCATGGCGAGCAGATGGTGCCCTTTTGCAGTAACAGAAATCTGGCAACTCTGCCAGGACTTTAAGTCCTGCTCATGGCCACTTGACCTCAAACGGGTGACCTATTGGGTAAGTCCCTAGCAGCTGCTGAGGCCGGGTTTGTCTCAGGGATCTGCTCTTCCTGCTCTCCTGTGCTGATGCTGGCTGCCTCCTAATGCTCCCTATGGTGGAAAGAGAAACAGTTACTTCTGGTGGGTTGACAGGCTCACATTTGGAGTAGGGTAAGTCACCTTGGAGGTGCGCCACCTAGAACTTTCCTTCCTCTCCATCTGGGGTCCCCTCTTTGAGAAGGGGGACTGTCTGGTTAATAGGGTGCCCAGCCAGAGTGGGAAGAGGAATAAGACTTCACCCAGAATCTAGAAACCAGTTGACTGGTGTCTGGTTTGTCTGTGTCTGTGTCTGTAAAGAGTTCCAAGGTCAGATGCCTTTTGGGTGAGTGACCTCGTTGAAATGTGCCTGTGCCTAATTGTCTAATATCTCATCAGGACAGTGGGTTAGAGGCTCCACTGATGAGATTTGGTGCTGGGTTAAAGTCCCAAGGCTAGGATTGTGGGAGATAATATAAAAGGGTTACAGCTGCTGGGGCACTCAAAGGATTGGGTTAGAGTCCCGAGCTCTGGGTTAGAGTCCCAGAGTATTGAATTTCCGTGTCTTTTCACGTGTATCTATGTCTGACTGTTTTATTTGTTAAAATGGGCTGTTTGGGGATGGAGTTCCTTGGTGACCATAACAAACTGCCTTTTAGATTAATCTTATGAGGGTCTTCTGACACTGAAGAAAAGAGGCACTGTTCCCTCTGGTCCTTCGAGACGTTCCCAGGTAACTGGGGACTTTACAGAGGTGTCAGGGCATCTGCTCATGATGTGCAATGGCGTCATAGGGACCCCACCTGAGGAGCATATTTTACTTGGCCCTCATTGTTCATGGTGAGGCAATCGACAGCGGCAGCTTGTCCGGGGCTCAACTCACCCAAACTTTGTGGGTGCCAGAACACATAAGGGAAAGAACAGACCCCTTGGTTATTCTTAGGGGACCTGTCCGCACAAGCACACTATCAGAACCTAAACACCTTTCCCTAGAAAGACCTTGTTCCTTGTGGCCACCTTGGGAAAAGGAAAGCCCCCTGAAATGGAGATAACTGTAAACAACTGGCAAGATAACCCGGGATGATTTAAAATTACAGTGGCCATTTTGGGCTCCTTGAGCCTCTAAACCAAGGAACAAGGAAAAATCTTTAATCTTTAAGGAGTCAAGGGTTCCACTTTTCACCGACAGTTTGCAGAAGCTATAAATGTTTATAGAGAACAGCAGAATCTTACCAAGCTTGTTTTGTGTCCTGAGGGCTTGGCTTGATAATTGTCAGGTTGGGGAGGGGTGTCCCAAAATATGGTGGGACAAAATATGGTTGTACCCCATTTTGCGGTCAGGGATAGTCAGACAGAAATCTGGGTTGCGCTCCTGTTTGTGGCTAAGGGTCCTACCAAACTGCCATTAGCCTCAGGGGAATTACATAGGCTATTTGAAGAAAGCCTTGGCTGGGCCTTCATTGTAAGGCTCTTGATTTCAGGGATGCTTGAAATTTTCACGATCTGATTCTAGCTGCAGCATAAATATACATTTGACCAATGATGTCTAAATTCTGAAACAATGGAAATGCTAATTCAATCACCACCATAGCCCCTTAGGCTGCATTCTCATGAATTGGGAGACTGTCAGCTACAAGTAAGGAGTACGAGCTACTGTGTGCTCATTGGTTTATTGATCCTTCTCCTCCCAGAGACAGCCGCTATTTTTGCTTGTCTCTGTTTTTTTGTGTCATTTGTCATAAAAAGGAAAAACCATAGAGCAAGATGCATAAGCCTGTTGTCTGGGCAGGCCCACAGTAGATTTTGCCATAGGCCCGCCTGTGGAGTATGCACATAAGGTGGAAGTTGTTGCTAAGGGCATCTTTGAAGCTAAAAGAGCCACAATACTGGGGGGCACCAGTTGAGCAGTTGAGAGCCATTAGGGTGATCGCCACCTCAAAAAGTCTCCCTTGATAGCATAACTTGGTCATGGGAATGGGGTAGGTGACGACAGCTCCCCCCACTGCCAACCTCAAGAAAATGTCCTTGCAATGATGAGGTACTCTGTAAAGCATACAATCCCCAACCCTGCGGCACCTTCCCACTAGGTATTAGTCTGTCTCCAAGAGACCCAAAGCATAGCTAAAGCTGTTAATGTGCATATAAGAGGAGGGTTTTTTTTTCTTTTTGTCTAGTGCTATGTCTTGTGAGATTGGCTTTGTGACCTCTTTGGTCATGAGGGGTCCTCGTCCATCAGGGGCCTATGTCGTCTCAATCTTTGTTGTTTGTTAGTGCAGTACTGTCTATGCAGCAGAAGCCTTTGCTTTCTTGGGCTATTTTGGGGAGCAAACTTTCTGGGTCTTGTGAGGGCTGCTTCTTTGCACTCTCTTTTAGGGACGCCTCTTGTATCCATAGTTAAGCCATAAATGCTTCTAGATATTGGGACGTTAAAAACTGATAAGGCAAATATGCCCCAGAAACTCCATCTTGGAGAAAACTTAAGTGGTTTCTCTGAGCCTTTGTGATGTAGTTGGACAGACAGATCAACCTATAATGTCATTTAAGTTACAACCCAATTTCTGAGAAATTAAGAGCAATTGTGCTTAAAAAAAAACATCCTTGCAAGACTGGAAATGCAGCTCTAGAGGCAGTTCAGATTCCACCCAGTAACTTTATCTCAAAAAGGATTATGGCCTTGCCTCTGGGAACTGTTATTTAGCTCATTGCCAATTCCTAAAACTGAAGGAAAATAAAAGGAAAAAGAAAGAAAAACAACTGTAAGAGCACCCTTGCCAAAAATCTAGCATCTTGAGTGTCTTCTCCACAAATATTAGTAAAAGCTTAAAACAAAATTTGGATACCTAACTAGGGAACCTTGTACCTGATTCATGACAATAATTTTAAAACAATAGCTGTACAGTCTCTGTATATGTGTGTCTGTATGTATGTTATATATGTGATACTTTACCTCCAAATGGTATAATTTCTCAAAAGCTCTATTCTATTGGCTTAAAGTAAGTGCTTATATAAATGTAATAGAAACTAACCCAACTGTCTTTCAAGTTAACATGATATAAATTAGTCTTTGGTAACTGAAAGCTTATTTAAGATT